GGCAAAAGAAAGAGTCGTAAATAGGCCTTCGGTAACAAAAGTCACAATTATTGCTCCCCAGGGTTTTATTTTGACGAGTTGACCCTTCTGAGACCATGAAATATTTGAGAAAAAACATTGAAATGGTTTGGGGTCATTTCCGTGTGGAAAACAGTGTCTGGCGCCTCAACGGTAAGAGATAGAGCCAAACGGACGAAATTTTCGCCCATGGGGCTCTACTTTGATGAGTTACCCCTTAGGAAACATTTAAAAAAAAGATTTTTTAAAAACGTTATTTGGGACCTGTTGTTTTTGATTTTTTAAAAATCCAATTTTCGAGCTAGAATGCTCTACTTTGAACTTGATCTGTCTTTTTATAATACAAAACGACCCTGAAAGTCCCAGGTCATCTCAATTCGTTCTCGAGTTATCGTGATGACAGACAAACAGACAGACAGATAGACAGAGAGACAGACAGACAGACGCGAAACTCTTTGATCATCAGTGGAGTAATAGGCTTCGCTAATCGCTCAGCCAATAAACGGCCTTCCCATTGACGTACAAAAAGACTTGAAATTTTTCAACACTGCCACCATTGCAGAAGTTCTTAAGAAAATAGAAGAGCTAGAGGTCACAAACAGTAGATTGCAGCAGGCGGAGTCAGTCCGCCGGATTTACGGCGCCGGGGCGCCGACCAGCTTCGCATCCGAGGACTCCAAGGAGGCGATCAAGATCGTCGCCGGCGTGCCCGCGGTCAACGCCGCGCCGCAACAGCAGCAGCCGTCAGAAGCCGACCCCATCGCCCAGCTGCAGAGAGATGTCGCCCAACTCAGGTTAGACATGCTGCAGCTGGCGAAACAGTGCGCCAGCAGCGCCGTACCGCCGGAGCCACCAGAGCCACCAGCCTGGAGCTACGAGGGCGACGATGAGTACGAGTGGGCCGACGAGGACGGCGAAGACGGCGAGGAGAACGAGGACTACGACGGCGACGACAACTTGGACTGGCAGCAATAATTCTTTTTACCAATTCCTGATAGTAGTGTATGCCAGATCGCCGTATTCGTCGCTGCGCCTTGCCGACAAACCGTGCTCGCCGCTTCTGCTGACGCCGTTCCTTTGGCCTGCCACCCGGCCGCCGCGCCGTACCGCCGTGTGGACGCCCGGATCATCCAACGCTCTACCCATCACAACATCGGTCAGCAAGTCGGCGCTCACCTACTCTTCGCACTGACCCACAGAGGAACGCGCAGCTCAGCAAGATCAACAGAGGGCGACGGGAAGCGGCACTGCCAAAATTTTCAAACTTTCTCCATTTTTTTTATTTTTTTTAATTTTTTTTTTTTAACCTTTATTGTCTATTGCCCTTCGTCATGGGAACTGTCCGTCTAGAACCAAACAAGTAATGCTCAACAAATCCTGCTCCAGGTTCTTAAGAGGAGGCTAAAGTCCCGGCCGTCCAGCGCGCTGGCGGGCTCCGTGCGGCGCTCGCAACGCCTTGCACGGGAAGATTTCTCACATTGTTTCTCAAAGACCCGTGCACCAAAAAAATCCAAATTCGGCAGGTGGGTCCTTGAAGGACTAATCTCGATGTCGAACGCATTCGTTTGCTTCCGACATTGCCTGTTTTGCCTACAATGAAACCATTGACTCGGCCACAACAGATTTTTTCGTGGCCGCTTTTTGTGGAAAATGGCTCTGTACCGCTGTAGCCACATCCTTTATCTACATTGTATCAAAATCTGAGATCGATATCTCCAACGGTGTGGCCGGAATCCTGCAAACGCCGGACCTCTGAACGAGTCGTCCCGGTTGTTTCCTTCAGTCAGACAGCGAGAGTCAGAAGAATAAAGGACCGGCCCTTATCATCGCCCCCTCCCACTGCCCCTTATAAAGCTGAGACAGCAGCAGAGCGCCGAGGACCTGCGACATGCAGAACCGTGCCGGGCGTAGCCGAGCCGCATGTCCGTGTTGTGCGTACGCTGGGCGAGGCGCTGCGCGCCGGGGTCGCGTCAGCCCCGAGCCCAGGGCATCGTGCTCAAATGTAGGTTCAAAATTGGCCAACGACTTCAATCGACATTTCGCTGTGATCGGAAAAACGAGGACAGATTGGTAGTACATATATTAATTGTCCTAGAAAACTTCTTCTACCACTAATTGATCTGTGTACAGGGCACTGTCTGGTGCTGCGCGCCTCCTGCGATAAGAAGGAGAGAGGTAGAATAGCGGTTTTCAAGACATGGTGTAGCGCCATTGCGCCATTCTGGTACTGCACCCTTCAATGGTGCTACCCCTCTGCGCCATTTGGCGCACGTTTGGCTGCCTACCCCTCAGGCGCTGGTGCTGGCGCTGTCGCTGGCACCTCGTGTCAGCGGCGCCGCGCCACGGTGCGCGTCACCACTCTAGGTGTACGTTTGGTTGCCTACCTTGCCGGCGCAACTTTCGTCGAAGGGGTAGGGGGGGAGGATGCTGTGGGGTGGCTGGTGCTGCTGCTGCAGCTGCGGCTGCTGCAGCGGCCGTTACAGAGAGGTCGACTCAGGTCATACACACACACACACAGCCTCCCTCCGTGTGAGCATGAAAATGAAAATGTCAGGAGTGGGATTCGAACCCACGCCCCGCAGAGCAACGCGGGACCAGAGCTTAAATCTGGCGCCTTAGACCACTCGGCCACCCTGACTCATGCCGTCTATCGTAAACGAAGCAGAGTGTGATGTCTCCTGGCGGTGGGTGCCGCCACGGCTCCGATGAGGCGAATATGCAAACGTGTGTTGGATTAACTAGGACGCGCGCAGAGTGTCGTGTCGTTGCCCACCAACGCCCTACTGCGGGTTGTATGGTCAGCAATGTAAGGCTACGGTGTGCCATGCGAACCTGAGAGTGCTCCACCCCCCCCCCCTCCCCTCAATCATGCTGTATATAAATAGGTGTACTTTGGTGGGTAATGGGGAGAATGCTCACGTAGTCACATGCTATAAATCTCTGCTCTGTGATAAGAAGGTTGCTGGATCGAATCTCACCAGAGTTGGATGCGATTACGTGATTTTTTTTTTTTTTTTTTTTTAATATGCAAAAGTATAAATACAGGTCTTTAATTAATCAGGTGGGGCTGAGTCGAAATGATCGAATATTAACCACGTTCTTATGTGCTGGACGAATACGACAAGTTTCTGCTAACTCGAAAACCATGGCACCGCTAGTCTATATAAAACCAGATTGGAAAAAGTGATGATGCAGCGTGAGGGTGGGGGTGGCCTGATTTATTAAGAAGGAGTCAGCGGTGAAAATATGGTATATAAGTTAGTGGATGGTTGGGTACTTTAGTCAGAGTCTCTCTTTCATTGCGACGCATCGAACGTGTTAAGTGAATACTGTGTTCTCCGTGCAGCTCAGAATGGCGTCAAACTATCCTGGTTTATCAGATCACACTCTGAACTCTGTGGCACACCTCACCAACGAAGAGATTGCCCAAATGTTGTGTTGGAATGTTGATCCGGTGAAAATTACATGCGCTGAACCTCTATCTGGTAAGTAGTTATTTATTGTGTATCGTGACCATGTTGAAAAGGTCTTATCTAACGCGCTCTCTATATTGTGTGTGCAGATGCGGTTGTTGATGTGCCAACTTCACCGGAGCCTAAGGTGCCTAAGGCGAAAAGAAAATGTACTCGGGTTGTTAAGAATCCAATTCTTCCTGCTACTCGAACTACTAAGAATCCGATTTCCTCTGCTGCTAAGAAGAAACGTGTATCTAAAGATAAATCAATGAGTTTGAAAGCCTGTAGAAGTGAGGCTCGTGTAGCAAGTGTATTTAAAAGTATTGGAGATATTTGTGTTAAAATGGCTCAGATTTGTAATGAGTCAACCTCATCCTGAGATGTATAAAATAATAAAGTTTTGTCATTTAAATATTGCATTGATTTGACATATCTATCCTGTGATATCTGGTAGCGGAGAAAAATAACAGTACAACAACGCAAAAGTATACCCATTTTAACTAATGATTTATTTATTTATCAGGTTGATGAGAAACATACATCAAAGGCAGGGCCTTTCATCCCCTTATACAAAAAAAACAAAGGGCACCCTGCTGATGCCATCGTATTCATACCCTCCAACTGTTCATCTGACATTCTTGCCAGACGTGTAGGTAGAACAATGAAAATGGCCTCCCCACCGCCGCCTGGTAACAGTAGTTCTAGCTTTACCTTCGAACCGCACCCAGAAAAATCGTTTCTTGTTTCAAGAGCAAAAATAAACTTGTAAATTTGCTCTTGACTTTTTTCTTGATTGAAGACCACTTGATCTTGGAGCAAGAGCATTGTTGAAGTGCTGCTAGTCAAGCGTGTCATTGTACTTGGCTGCAAGAACACTGCGCTCTTGCCGCCGCAAGCGCGCCAGCCGGGGCAGCGTCGAGCCGAGCGAGCCGCGCGGACGCAGCCGTGCGCGCAGCCGAGCGAGTCGCGCGGACGCAGCCGTGCGGCCGCTGTGGCTCGTCCCCTCCCTCTCCCCTCTGCCCCCGCTCCTGCCGCGCCCAGCCGTACGGGGTCTCCGCGCGCGCTGCCGCCCGGCCTCATTAGTGTTCCGACTGTCAAGCGAGCAACATGTCCGCCGACGCGCATCAACACGACGAGCTCCTCGCACTTCTCACCTCGTGGGACCTGGAGAGGCTCTTCGAAACCCTCAAAGGTGAGTACACAAATTCTGTGCTGTTTCTAAGAAGTGAAAGTTCCGGAAAGTGTTCTCTCTTTTAACATTGTTCCCCTCCACATCCGGCGTTGATTGCAATGCTGTTTTGCAACTCATAGTTGTTTTCACAACTGCGTAAAATTGCCTTCGCCATCGAGTTATCATGGGTGCAGTGCGTCTTTCATTTGGCAATGTAGGGTATGCTACTTCCAACTCGATTGGCTAACGTTTTTATTTTGTGCCGGTCGGCTGACCAGCCGCTGACCAGCCCCCCTCCCACCCACCTCTTGTCTGACGTCGTTCCACCCGGCACCTCGCTGCTAATGATAAACATGTACAGCTGTAAATTTAGTCTATTTCCGGTAATGCTAAAATACAGAAGAATGCAGGGAACCACTAGGCGGAAGTCACCATGTTCAAGCATACTGATTTCCGGTTTGTTCCCCGCGTTCTTCTTTTCAGCTATACCGGAATGCTTTAATGTGCGATTGAGCTGGCGCCCCCTTTCTCGTGTCCGTGATGATGCGCTCGCGCAGCAGCCAAACGTGTTTTATGATACGAAAAATTCGAGATAAAACCCCCCCCCCCCCCCTTCTTCCTGTATCGGTTTTGCTGCTCTGTAAGGTTGCGATGGCATTTATTTACAATCGCAAAAAATGAAATAATTCGCAACAGGCTGCAGAGAGGAGTGGGGCCAGCCAGGGGCAGTGCCTCGCTCTTGCACATGTCTATGATTTTTGTTCTTCTCCTTACGGTCTTGCTGAATCGTTCACAATATGGTATTTTAAATGCGTTCGAAAGGGAAGTAAGAAGACTGCTCCTCAGACCCCTGCTTGTCCGCGTCCACTCCCACCACTACTCTCTGGAACCAGTTTTGTTTCTTTCTACTTCCTTTTCGAGCTCCATTGAAATACCGTATTACAAAACAGCCACAATCGTGTGCAAGATCTTACAGTGCTGCGACTGGTCTGTCGAACAGCGATGCCCCCCCCCTCCCCGTCTTTCCGACGCACCAAGCGGAAGAGAAGAACAAAAACGGAAGTTGGACAGGCGCCCGCGTAGCACGAGCAGCGGACACCTCGGAGGTGCGGGGGAAGCAGCGCGGGCGTCTTTCCACCTTCCGTTTTTGTTGTTCTCTACCGCTCGGCGCTCCATTGGGATAGAGCATTCCGGTAAAGCTGAAATGCATAAGAATGCATGGAACAAGAAAACGGAAGTCACCATGTTATGGCATAGCGATTTCCGTTCACTTCTTCCCCGCATTCTTCTGCATTTCAGCTTTTCTGGAATGCTTTATTATGGCATAGGGTATTTTGCCGGAGGAAAATCGAAACCTGAAGAAGAAAACACTAACTGCCTGATCTGTTTCCTCCTGAACACTGATTGGTCAACGATGACGTCGGTGTGGCGGTCAGCCAATGGGCGCACAGATGGGAACAGATCCAGCAGTTATGCTTTTCTTCTTTTAGGTTCCGGTTGGACCGAACTGAACCAAAGAAGGCAAGCATGTTTTCGCTTGATCTGCGCCATTTTGCTTGAAGTCATGCTTTTATTCCTTAGGTTCTAATTTTCTTCCTATGAAATTCCCTTATAGAGCGATCATACTGTCGTCTGCTGTCGGCTTACCCGCTCTGCACCCCTACCCGTTGCGATACTGCATCCCAACCCTCCCCAGTGAGAATTTTTCCGACGACATCGTTTCGACATCGTTTTTCACGTCGTTGTACGACTTAAAAGTGGTCCTGAAATCGACGGATTTTCGACAGCTGATGTCGTTTCGATGTCGTGTCGACGTTTCACTGCCGAAAAGCAGTCGATTTCAAGACCACTTTTAAGTTGTAATAATGACGTGAAAAGCGATGTCGAAACTATGTCTGATAAATTTCTCACTGGGATCCCGTCGTTTGCTCGTTGGGACCGACGGTTCCCGAATGAACGAGCGACATCGACGAATCGTCTTCTGCCCACTCCGCTACTGAGCGCCCAGACCCGCCGCCCCTCGCCAACCTTCCCGCCCCAGTCCTCCCGTCGTTCGATGGAGCCAGATTGAACGACCGACCTGTCGACTCAGCCGCTATGTGCCCCTACACGGCCCTCGCCCCTCACCCTGAAGCGCCTGCAATGTAGGCAACCCAACGTGGTGCCGTGTATTATCCCGGGGGCTTCGTGTTGAAAATTGCTTTCGCCCCCCCTATGGTCAATTTCCGTTAGAACTGTGCACAGACCACGTTCGATTGCAAACAATTTTAGTGAATTCGGTATCTTTTTATACATGTTACCCCCTCCCCCCCCAAAAAAAAACAACAATGTACACGTCATTTTTTAATGTAGCTCTTATATTAAAAGGAATTTCTCGAAAATTTATTATTGTTGGGGATCTAATTAAGTACGTCAGTAAGTCTGCCCCCCTCCCCCCATCCCCCTGTCATCGACTGTAACATTTTGGCGGACCCCCTCCCCCCCTAGGCCGATGACGTAATTTGCATACGCCCGCCCTCCTCCTGCACAGCGTCGTTTACTCCGCCCAAGCTACGCCCCGGCATGCCGCAGAGCATTTGCAGGCGTCGTAAGAAATTCTACGTGTGCACGCTCGTACGCATTTCGTTTTCTCTCCATTATAAGGCGCTAGTGTAGGGATGGGTGGCTGTCGTTCGGTGAGGCCTCGGGTGAGGCGAAATAGATTCAGCCGCTGGTGTAGGCCACCCATTTCACAGCACTGCTGAGGTGTTTCTTTCGGGTCAGTCCACTGGGCGTTCGAACTACTGTGGCCGTACCAATAAACCATTCGAGTAAAGCTGAAATGGAGAAAAATGCGTGGAACAAGAAAACGGAAATCACCATGTTCGAGCATAGCTGTTTCCGTTTTGTCGTTCCCCGCATTCTTTTTCTTTTGAGGTTTACGGGAATGGTTTATTCACGCTCAATCTTTAAAACAGAAACGCATTCTTATTATTTTAGACTATACCCCTGCGCACTGCGCCGAAACGTCACACTGCATTGATTAAAATGACTTTTCATTAATTTCAGCTAATCGGTTCACACCGAAAGACGTTCTCGCCCTGGTCGAGGAAGACCTCCCGGCCGTGACCAAATTCAAGGGGGAACAAGACCGTCTTTGGGCGAAGATTCAAGAGGTTAGTAGCTTAATTATTCCTGTTACTTTAGTACCGCTCGTTTTTGTTCGTTCCCTTATTCCTTTCACGGTTTTTTGTATCTTTTCCAGGCTCGAGCCAAGTATAGCCCTTTATCAGCCTCGCTCCAGCCTGAGCCAAAGGAGGGTAGCTGTGCTGCTTTAACAGAACTTGTCTCAAGTGAAACAGGCTGCACAGAACCTGGGCCGAGTTCCGGTCAAGCTAGGCGTAAGAGTCAAACGGTTCCTCACAATGCTGTCGCGAAGAAAATGCGATTGTTCGACAGTAGTCGCTACGCAGAGCAACTTGTGAGTAGATGGAAATTTTCCCTTTAAACGATGAACTTTTTTATGTTTACTTGAGTTAATGTATTTCTATCCCTCATAACAGGATGTGGTTGCTGTTCTGAACAGTAGTCGGAAGGGCAAAAATATATTGCTGGCATATAATGATAAGACAGAGGACAGGCCTTATCTTAGTGAGAAACAGAGAAATTCGATTGTTGAACTTCTTATTATTGATCTTCGTGACAACGTAGACAGGTAATGGCACGTTCGTGAGCTTATTTTGTTTCTTTTAAGTGTAGTTTGTTAATTATTTTGTTTTTATTAGATTCCAGCACAAGTACTTTGATGAAATTGCCAAAAAAATTCAAGAAGTTTTTCCGACTGAAGATCCAGTAAGGCCCTTATTTTATATTGTTGCCTGATTATTACTTGCAGTTCTTTTTTCTCCATAATTAACGTTACATCGCTTTGTTTGCAGAAAACTTACTATCGTCCCCCCCATTCGGAAGGAAATGACAGCACTGCGCCCCAGGGGAAGTTATTTGCAAAGCTGAGGAACATGCCAGCCCAAGAAAGCGACTCAAGGAGTTCAAGTTTGTCCGCTAGATCTGGGGAGCGGGGTGCTGGTGGTGGTGTCGACAGTAATTTTGGTACTGTCTGTGCTGAACGTAAGTACAGGTCGTCGTACACGTATTCTTTGGTCCTCTTTATAAAAAATATATATTAATTTATCCCCTCGTTCAACAGCTGTTACCGATGAGGTTCTTGGAGCGAAGACGTGGCTGAAGAATTCTGATAAACCTTGGACGGTTGTGCTTCAGAAGTGGAGAACCACGGCACCTATTCGCTTTCGAGAATTCCTAGCCGTTGACAGCGACCCAAACTCCGTGAACATCTATATTAACGAGTGGAAAATTCTGAAACACAAATCTGGCTATGAACTGGTGAGTGTAGATTACTTGGTACAGTTGTATGACGTTATCGGGAGAAATGTCTAAATTTAATTTTGTTTTACAGTTGTTAGAAGACTTTAAATGTCTGTACCCGGATGTGGCTAGCAATTTGTTCATCAAATGGGAATTATTTGTGAGGCGCAACATTGCGATAGGCAAGAAAGATGTAAGCAAAAGTGATGTAAAAGGCAATCAAATTTTACAAGAACTTGCAAATGAGGCACTGTCACCAAGTAAGCATAAATAGTTTTGTAAAGCAATTAAAACCCACACAATTATCAAATTTGTTTTAAATTGAACTGTTTTGACTCTTTCAGATAGCCAAGCAGTTCTCTTGTTAGCACTTTTGCCAAGTATAAGGGCCAACCAGAGAGTCAAAGTTAATGGAAGTCAAGTAAAAGTGTCCGAATCAGAATGCCGTGATAGTTACCTACTGCACGTCAAGGTAAGGTTATTCTGTTAAATTTAGAAATACTTTGAATATTTAGAATGCATTTTACACTGTCTGTTTAAATCATTTTCTTTTCCAGAACGCTAACGACTTGCCTTTGGCTATCCGCAATAGGCGGGAAGAATTTTCCCAAAGTGTCAAGCCAGGTGGGCAGCCACTGATCTGTGCCATTGGCCCATCGCTGGCAGATGTGCGTTCAGTGCACGTGAATGTTGCGAATTTGGATTGGGTGGCAACTTCTGCTCTCTGTGCCATAGACATATGCTTCAAATCATTCTTTGCTCTCAGCATTCCTTACCCAAAAGAAAGTGAGCATGTTTGGAGCACCATCCAGCGGGCTGTGTACGACATCAAGACACCTAGTGACAAGGACATGAACTTCTGTCATAGCTGGATTAAAGCCCTCAAGTAATTTCAAATTTGTAGAATTAAATTTATAGAGTTGTTTGTTATTTTGTATAAATATTTGTTTTGCAACTGCACATTGTTAGAATGTTTAGGTGCCATTTGTGTCTGCTCTGGGAGCCCTCAATTGACGATTTATTGTCTCATTTACAAGTGCGCCATACTATCACTGTGTGGAGCACCATTGTTTGCGCTCAAGAAGGTTGTTCGCGATCATTTGATACGTTGAGAAACTTTAAAAGGCACCTACAGGGTCATGTTAACGTTCCTCCAAGAGTTGTAGTTCAGGTAGATGAAGAAAATAATAATTTTCATTATGTAGGGGATGGTATTGGGAACAATTTATTTAATAATGGAAATGATTTGAACAATGATGGAGATGATTATGAATTTTTGAATGATGGTAATAATGATGATTTCAATGGAGATGACAATGTTTTGGATGATAATTTAAATGCTCCAGAAGTATTAACGTTGGAAAGTTTTGTTAGTGCTGTGTATAAAAATGCAGAAATGTTTTCAGCCTATTTGTACTCTATTCCTACACTTAATAGGAAAAATGTTGAATTAATTATAGCTGGGTTTTCTGATTTTTTGGGTTTTGGTATTGTTAAAGTTTTGAAACAAAGGGTTGTAGCTTTCATAGATGCTTGTACCTGCGAAAACATCAATCCCAACGATATTTTCGATATTAAGGGAATGTTTGATGTGATAGAAAACCCTTTTGAGCACTTGAGTTCTGAGTTTAAGCGAATAAGCACTGTCTCTGATACTGGTAAATTTATTCGGCCTGACTCCTATGTCTTAAATTATGAAAATAGATTTGTTAGAGATGATTTAGACGTCGAACTTTCACAAAAGCCAGTGACGGTACAAGTAGTTCCCTTAAGGAAGTCAATAAAGGTGTTTTTGGAAATTCCAGGAATGTATCAGTGTATGTTGGATCATGTAAATGCTATGAATGTCCAGTCTGAAATTGTTAAAGATTTCCTTCAAGGTGAACTCTGGCAGGAAACGTTACTTAGATTTGAAGGCAAAACTGTATATCCACTTTTCCTTCACTTCGACGACTATGAGCCCGACAACGTCTTGGGATCACATGCTGGTGATAATGAATTAGGTGCAGTTTATGCATCAATTGCTTCTCTACCTAGTGAATTACGTTCAGGCGTTCTCAACATGTTCTTAGTGTCACTGTTTAAATCTAATGATAGAAAGTCGTCTGGCAATCTTATTACATTTCAATCTATTATTGAAGAGTTAAAGTATCTCGAGGAAGAAGGAATTGTATTAGATTTACCTTCTGGCAAGGTTCGAATTTATTTTGTTTTATGTCTTATTGTGGCTGACAATAAGGGCCATAACTCCATCCATGGTTTCGTTGAAAGCTTTAGTGCGTCCTTTTACTGTCGCATTTGTAGAATTCATAAGGATGTGGCAGCCCACACATTGTCAGCTCTTCCAGCATTGAGACGAACCAGAGCTAACTATGAAATTGATGTGGCAGCCAATAACTACCGTGAGACTGGTGTGAAGGAAGAATGTGCGTTCAATCATGTCCAATCTTACGATGTTTGCACTAATATTTTTGTAGATTTGCTACATGATATCAGTGAAGGTTGTCTCCGGTACGGGTTTGGGGCAATCCTCCTTGAATTTATACACAATAGAGGCTATTTTGATGTGCAAACATTTCATGAAAGAATAGATGGTTTTAATTATGGACCAGCGGAATTTGGGAATAAGCCACCAAAATCGCATATTACCTTAGATAGAATACGCAATAATAATGTTGTTTTGTCTGCCTCAGAAGCTGTTTGTCTTGCCCGATATTTCGGTGAAATGATCGGCGATCTTGTACCTGCAGATAATTTAGCTTGGCAGTATTATATCGTTGTAAGAGAGATTGTAGAAATTGTAACGGCCCCCTATTTTTCGAGGGGTACTGTAGAATACCTTGGTGTTATTATCAGGGAGCACCATGAATTGTATAGACAGTTAGCTGGCTATTTGAGACCAAAGCATCATCTAATGACCCATTACCCTGAGGCAATGAGAAGAAATGGACCATTCCCTCATTACTGTTCGTTAGCTTTGGAAAGGAAACATCGACAAGGCAAATTGTATGCTCGTACATGTAATTCTAGGGTAAATTTACCCTTATCTGTAGCAGTTAAAGTTCAGCTCGAATTTTGTCATCATGTTATGACATTCGATCCAAAAGTTCAGTTTAAATGCATACTCAAGGTTAATACAGTACGTGCTGCGTCACTCCCTAATTTTAATTTATTTCGTGGTGTTTTGCCGTTTACTCCAAATCACTTAGTGTCTGTGACTAAAGGTGTTGATGTCCGTGGAACACAATACAGAGTTCATATGGTAGTTGTTCTCCATGTTCATGACTTGTTGCCAGTGTTTGGCAAAATTAATAATATTTTTATTACTAATGATGGCCCTATGTTTCTTGTGAAACAAATGTTGACTCAAGGGTACAGAAGTAAGTTTTGTTCTTTTGTTGTCCATGATGCAAATCAATATGTGTTTGTATCCCAAAAGCAATTTGTGTCATTTATGCCATTATGGCAAAGAACTAGTCAAGATGGTGAGCAGGTGGTTTCTGTTCGTCATGCATTATGATCTGAATAAAAAAAAATGAACTACAATATAATTGTTTTATTTCCCTTGTACACTGGTCGCTTCCAAATAAAGTACTATTTTATGGGTTGCTACAACATAAAGCGAATCCTCATTAAACACGGGGTTACATTTATCGTGGCCATGCAAATTCGCACCCTGATATTCAGTACACACTCATCACTCTTATTTCCTGGCGCTATATTGCGTAAATTGCCGCTTTAAAGACCTAAATTGCGTTTGCATGGTTTTCATGGAGTAATTTGTACTCAGTCCCGGCAACACCCTAAAAAAAACGTTAAATGCGAGATTCAAGATTATTTTTCAAGAACATTTTTGGTTTAGAAAGTGCCTAAGCTTAATTTGCTTAAGGCAAGATCACACATTTCAAGTTCATAAATCAAGGTTTCGTATGACATAACAGATCAAGAGTTTATTTTCTTGTTTGTCACTCGTATTATTAAGAGCAAAACACTTGTTTTAACACGTAATTTAACTTACATTAAGGTCGATTTGTGCTTGGGCCAAGCACAAACCATACAAGTTTATTCTGAACTTCTCTCAAGGCAAAATTAAGCTTAGGTCATTCCTAGTACAAAACAGGCTTGTTCCAAGTATAATTTTCTTGTTTCAAGAAACGATTTTTCTGGGTG